CACAATTTGGATTTCATGGTTCAACTGCAATGGGTTGGATGACATTGCAAGGAAATAAAGCTGCCGGTACAGATCAACATTCCAGAACCGCGAATATTTTAAAGATTTCACGATCTGATGCAAAAGTATTTAACTATGGCCGAATTTATGGAGCCGGTTTGAAATTTGCAATTCAATTATTAAAACAATTCAACGAGACAATGGGAGATTCTCAAGCTAAAGAGCGTGCAAATGATTTATATAATCACACGAAAGGTAAAAAATTTTATGCCAGAGGTAAGATCAAATCTCCCTATGAACTTTTTTGGTACGGAGGAAGTGAAAGTTATATGTTTAATAGGTTAGAAGAGATTGCAACAGATGAAAACCCTCAAACGCCAGCGCTAAGATGTGGTATAACTGAAGCGCTAAAAGGAAATATCGTTCACAATCATTATATGACATCTCGAGTAAATTGGGTGGTTCAATCATCTGGTGTCGATTATCTTCATTTACTCTTGGTATCTATGCAGTATCTGATGGAAAAGTATAAAATTGAAGGAAGATTTATGTTATCGGTTCATGACGAAGTTAGGTTTCTCGTTAAAGAAACCGACAGTTATCGTGCAGCACTAGCTCTTCAAATAAGCAATTTTTGGACGCGCGCTATGTTTAGTTACATGTTGGGAATAAATGATTTACCCATGGTAAGTAAATGATTAAATTAAAAATTTTGATTTTATAATTTTCAAGTCTTGTTTTATATTATTATTCCTTTTTTTTTTTTCTTAGTCAGTCGCATTCTTTTCAGCGGTTGACATTGATCATGTCCTGCGAAAAGAAGCTGATTCAAGTTGTAGAACTATTTCTTATGATACCGAAATTGAGGATGGAGAAAGTTTAACAATACATGAACTACTTAAGCATAAAAGTTCACTAATACCGCCCGATGAAAACGATCGGAATAACGGAGACGATTATAGTGAATTTCATAATGACAAAGTCAATTATAATGAAAATGAGTTACTTTTACTGAACCCGTGTAAAGCTGCAAAAGACAAAGAATATTTAACAATTCAAGGATTATCAAGCGAAGAGGAGGTCGAGAATTTAATATCGAAGAACCACCCAAGGTATTCAAATTCATTTAATAATAATAATAATAAATGACAAAGCAAATAAAGAGTCTCTAATATATTTAATATGTTAGGATCAGTAGTTTTAAACTCAAAAATGGACAGCAGTTAAACTTTAGGACAATGTAATTCTTATTTTTATGATCGGTACTTTTTCTTTGTATATTTCATCTTGGCATTATTTTCTGTTTCATAGTCTATCTTACAAAATTAAATGTAGATTAAATAAAAAATTTTTTTGTTAATAAAACAATTCTTAATTTGCTAAAATCTGAAATTAAAGCAAACACTTACTCCAGGTACATAATCATGGCTTCTATATACCTCCTTTTCACTTTTTTGTCTTCCGTTTTCCCAAATGGTTTGACATTCATTTCTTAGTTTTTGAACATAACCCTGAACGCATGGTCCACGAGTAGTAGACATGAAAAACCGAATGGCGTGATCTAGCTATTGAGTAGAAAGAAAATAATATAATGTCGTATTTATTCCTTTTATTCTTTAATGCATAAATTACCAATTACCTTCATTTCATGATATTGCTTATTGTAATAAGCAGGGGATTCTAACATATAGCTATCAATCGCCTTTCTCAGAGCTTGAGTACAATGACTAAATTGAGACGGACTTTGTAAGGGTTATTTTTAATTAATAATATCCTTGTAAATTAATTATAACATTTACCCCGCTGAAAATCGATTATCCACTTGTAAACAGTCTTTCAAACGTCTCTGAAGGATATCATCAACAGCACTAAAACTTTTTCGTTCTTTTCGATCTAAAATTTCTTTCCCAAGTTGTCCAAATAATAACTCTTGTAATGCTATACATCCAGACATCCATTGATTGACATTAGGAAGCTATTATAATAAAATTTACTCACGAAATATTAATCATTGCATTTGAAAACTTAAATATGATGATAAATATAATAAATGCACACCTCGCTTGATGGCATCCCACGTTTAACGAAATTTCTCGAGTATCCATTAACGGTCCATTTCACCCAATTATGTGCAAATTCTCTCAACAATTTAATTTCAAAATGTTCAGCACCTCGAGATTCTAATTTTCTTTTTTTAAGTAAATCATCAATAACATTCTCAATCTTGCTCTCTTGTGAAATTTTAGCCTTAGACATTAAAGGAGTAATTGAATCAGATGATAATAAATTGCCCGTAGAACCACGTGTAATTAGATGCACAAAAAACTGATTGGAAGGAGGAGGAAGAGTAAATAGTTGACGGCTAAAATAAAAGATACCAACTTTTTATTGTATGTAATTAAGGACACTTTCTAAATAAATCATTTGGTTTATTATAAATATTAACATACCCGTCGAATGGTGCATGGATATCACCAGTTTGCATAAGATGACATGCACGAAATAAGAAGCGAATACGGGCCTGCAAGGATTCTTTGATCCTTTTAATACTACCTGAAGATGCCTATTCACACAGTAGAAGAATATTATGTAAATGATACTGTGTCACATGTTACATTAATTTATTTTAAACTTAATTCATTATTTGACCTTATCATGAATAGAATCTGATTTGTGTCCATCAGTTGAAGAAACAGACAATTGCACCTATTGAAATAAGTTAGTATGAATCAAGAAAATGCAATGAAATAAATAATTTTTAAATATTATTAACCTCTTGAAATAAGAAAAGAAGAAAGGGAACGCAACGTCCAGGTGCTGTCACTCCACCCTGCGCCGTCCACCCTCTTCCACCGTATACACCATTAGAATATGACCCATAAGGGGATGGTATTTCGAAACTCTGCCAGCACAAATTCAAAAAATTCGTTGCATGAGGTAAAATATGCCTTTTAACGGAATGTATTGTCTTGAGAAGTGAGACCATATTTCCATCTAATTTAGATATTGGTTGCGTGAACTGAAGGTTTGAGAAGATGCAAATGATTAATAACTCCGGTATTTCATCAAAAGTGAGAGAACAATAAATATACATACCATTACTACGTGAGATAGCATAAACATAAATACGAGCATTCGTAAATAAACGTGTTCGTGTTTCCATATCCAATTTTGAAAATCTTGCTTTATTATCGTCACATACAAATAAACCCTTAATCAATACTACATACTATAACATTTAAACTAGAATTAAACGTTTTACCTCAGTTTCAATTGTTAACCGAGAATTTTCCCAAAGTTGCAACATGGTTTCACTTTCATTAACCGAATCGATAAGTAAATACACGATATTCTTTGATGCATCACAATACATCCATAGTCCGCACTAAAAAAAAAAAAAAAATTTATTGTTAAAAAAAAATAAAAATTTTGATACGTACGATCAAAATCAATGGTATCCCTTACATTATTCCCATTTGATATCAACAAAATTGCTCCTTTCGGTCGATTATAATTAATTTTTTCATTAGGTATCTAACGATTAAGGACAGAGAATAAATATAAATATATTTAACTTTTTGATTATAGTGCTGTTTATTTTATACCTGACCAAATACATTCTTTTCTACTATAGCGTTTGCAATTAAATGAAGTTTCGAAGTAGTTTCAGACTGAGAAAAACCAATGAAAGAAACGACAGAAATTGGTGCTGCCTCTTGAAGTTTAAAATCTTTAAGAGTATCTGTTCACGAATTCATATATATATATATATATATATATTTTGGAATATTTTTTTTTTAAAAAAAAAAAAAAAATTTAAAATTTAAAACGCGACAAAACCTTCAATTTTATTCTTTAAAGTGACAAAACTTTGACTTTCTTCCAAAACTGGTGGTTCTTTTGGGGAGTTTGATGAACTTATACTTTCTATTACAACGTCGTCTTCGGTTGAAACAGTTGAAGATAATTTCTCTTCCATATGAGGCTATTATCTCGTGTTATAAATTATAAAATAGTAATACGCGAATTTATTAAATTTTGGCCAGTGTGCCTGCATGTTCTTTACGGTTTACCCCAGAGATCATGTGATATTTAAGGAAGTACTAAAATAAGTGATCAGCTTACTTTTTTTTGTTTCCGAAAGAATTTTCTTTCAACTAACATGTTTAGAAAAAAAAAAATTAATTTTGGATACTACGCGTTAAAAATCCACATTTCTCAAAAATTATGTATAACACCAATAATATCTTTTGGAATTCTTTACGACAACATTAAAGATTTTTATTAATTGCGTTAATACTTAACATATTAAAATCGGCATATGGGAGGATTTCTAGGAAAATCAGGTTCCGAGAAATTTTTTAACTAAAATTAAGAGCTTAATGCATTTTAATCTAAAAAATTCTCGAAACCTGATTTTCATTGCAATATACCCATATTATCAATAACGTTTGAAGAAATAACTGAACCATTTAACTTTTAAAACTTACGAAGTGAACGAACATTTTGAGACGGAAATTCAAGTTACATTTGAAAAAGAATAATTTAAAAAAAAATTTAAATAAATAAAAATAAAAAGCGGATATTAAAAATAAAATTTAACTTATCAATACATAGTAAAAACTTATCACCTATGCTAAAATTTTAGTTTTCATTACCACATTAATAATATTTTTATGGACCAACAATTTCATTATCAGTGATCACTATCATATATTTTTATCATAAATATTCTGATCTTTTTTTTTAATATGTACCTCGAATATACTTGATCTTGAAATGTTTTGCTTCTAAACTACGTCTGAGAGGTATAGCAAGTTTTGATTTTATAAATAATCTCGGGCTTCATTATATTTATACGCGCCACACATCTGATTATAGTCAAAAATAGTTACTTGCCTCTTCAATTACATTTTCACTTCACCTTCGAAACCTTTCGGTTCAATAACAATTTCATAGACTTTCTTTCCTTTTAATAACAGCCCAATCTTTCTCAAACCATGTATACATCCCCGTCTTTGAACTCGGATGATAAATCAATTATCGAAGTCAGTCCTAACCTGTATTTACGGGCCTGTATATAAAAAACTGTATTGTACGGTCAGCTAAACTGTACTGTACGAAAGTTCAGCCAATCATTTTTCATACAGTACAGTTTAGCTAATACAGTACAGTCTCATAAAACTGTTCAGATGTAACACGAATTAGGTGGTTGACGCAAATAAAAGATGTGATAATCTGGTTTTGAACAAAAAATGATTTTTTCATTTCGACGCTTGTCACCCAGAATTCTATCTAACTTTAAAATACAAAAGCGCTTTTTCTCTTTTAATGGGTCTTATATGAAAGACAAAAACGATATTGATGTTAAAAAATCTACCAACTCATCAGCGGAAGCTATTATTCCGATGATAAATCAAATATATGCTGAAACAGCAAACAAAATTTTTTGACTTATATACATGATGCAGAGATTAGAAACAAAGGATAATAAGCATAAAGAAGAATTAGAAGCAAAGAACAATAAGCATAAGCATAAAGAAGAATTAGAAGCAAAGAATGATAAGCATCTCGAAGCGGTAGTTAAGTTAAAAGAAACAAAAGGATGATGAAGCTGAATTAGTTTTGCGTACAATTGAACTGTTTAAACTTCGAAGAATCACTAACATTAGGGCAGCTTTGGAGTTTATCCGCGGTCGGGTAAGTTTTTTATTATAATTTTTCTTCAATAGATTATTTACAAGAAAGCTATAGATCCTCTCGATATACATGAACCTATTGATAATTTGTTAGAAGCGACGTTAAATGAAGATGCAGATTTTAAGGAATGTTTGGGGAAGACGTGTAAGGTGAATAATGTGACAACAGATGCCGTGAAGAAATGTATTGGTGGTCTGTATCATACGTCATCAAAAGGACTTCATGGTTACGACAAAATTGCGATTCGTGCAAAAGATTGGGAGGTAAATGAGATAATTGCCTTGGGTCTCATTTTCAAATATTATCGTATTCCTTTCATTTATTGGGATGAACCGGATCGAGAGGCGAAATTTCCATACGAGTTAGCAGTTTAATCATGTGATCCAACCTACTTTATGCAAAAATCACAGATAAAACGTATATTTTATAATGCTTTAACAGATGCAAAAATCTTTAGTTTTTATTTTTCTGAAAAATATGAATAATTTTACCAAATGATTTATTATTTTTTTGAAATGAATTTTACATTATTCTATTCAAATAATGATTATGGTTCCGAAATAAATGATTGAACCAAAGTGAATTTTACTTTTTGTTTTTCATAAACATTTTTCCACAATGTTTTAATAATATTGTTAACGAATAATACGTATCACAATTGTTTATTATATCAATCAGATAACATTAACTGTGGATTCATAGAAAGTTATTAATTATTACTGCGCTATCAAGACATCGTATTACTCAAATCTCGTATTTTTTAACATCTAGTAAGTTTTTTTAGATGTGAAGAATTTGCAACAAAAATAATGAAATTCAATTTAAGACTTGATGAAATTATAATTTATTGAAGTTGAATTAAACAAGGGTATCATATGGAATTGGTGTGATAGTTGTCGGCATATTCTTATCGGTGGAAACAAAATGTGATTTTCGAGGCGCTTCCGGTTGTCTTTTAAGGTTAACCTTTTCTATATTCGTAAAGATTATTTAAGGAAATGTTAAAAAAAGAAAGAAAGATAAATGTTGAGTCTATCGTGAAATTTTCCTACCTCCTTTAGCTCTAGCCTCCTTTTTCCTGATCGCATTTTCCTTGACACGACGTAGGAAATCATCCCTACATTTCGAATGTTTAATATGTTCAACACGAATATTAACCCGCTTTTCAATAAAACGGTTGCCAACACGCTTATTAATGATTACACCGACGGCTGATTTTGTTACATTGTAAATGATACCAGTACGACTGTTAAATAAATTAATTTGAATAATTAAATTGTTAGAATAAGAAAAGTTGATCGATCAATAAATAAAATAAAAAACTTACCCATGATAAAATTTATGGGGCATACCCTTTTGGACGGCACCGTTGGCTTTAATGTCAACGATATCGCCGACCTTGTACGTCTTAAGGTAGGTTGAAAGCCTGATAGATCCATGCTCGCGGAATTTACGAGAGAACATATAGCGCGTACGAGCGCGAATACCAAAAGAGTTAGGCATCTTTTATACTTCTACCGCATTAAAATCGAATTAATTACAATAATGATCAATTAACAAGATTTGCTATCTACCAAAAGTAATCAAATTGACAATAGAAATAACCCTTTTGTTTGAGCAAATGGGATATTGATTTCAACTTACAACCTACAATGGTTCGTTTAGTGGAAGAGGGGATTATAAAAAATTTATTAGTATTTAGATGAAATATTAAAAATTTTTTGCATCGATGCATTGTAATTGGGTCATATGCACGTGACTCAAATTTTTTTTTTTTTTTGCTAAAAAAATGAATGATTTATGAATTAATCGAAACCTTCCCAGATTTTTTGTTTCTATCAATAATTCCTTCATAATGCCTGGAGCTCCTAAGAATTGTATTCTTATGAAACTTTCCTGATTGTTTAATTTAAAACTTTGTATGCTTTTTTTGTTCGTGCTATATATATATATTATCGTATCATGCCGGTAAATATTTTTTTTTTTTTATCTATCTATATGATAATTTTGAATTATGGACAAAATTTCTAACGAAAATATTAAAATATATTTGAATAGTTCGAGAGATATCCTTTAGTATTTATTGTAAAATGGATTAAATGACCCAATCAATTGATCTTATTATGTCAAATTTTCAATTAAATAAATTAGAAATTTTATTTTATTTTATTCTTTTCTTTTTTTTTTTTTGTTATTTTGGAAAGTTTCATAGAAGAGAGATACAGCAATCTCTCTGGACACGAACGAAGATAAGAGTTATGGTCCACCGCTCACTTCCACTTTTAAATAAGTGGTGATAAGTGTGGATCATGGTTGCTAAGTGCAACATTTGGAAAGCTATCCGCAATTTCAAATTTTTGAAAATCTCAACCTCATTTGCCTACATTAGCAATGAATGAGAATTCAAAGTGGAATATGGCTTTACCTGTTTTTTTTTTTCCTTGTTTTGCTTTAAATAGGCTCAAAAACCTACAAAGTTCCCCGTCGTCCATTTGAAAAGGAACGAATCGATCAAGAACTTCGACTAATCGGTGACTTTGGTCTTAGAAACAAACGTGAAATTTGGCGTGTAGCATACACACTTTCAAACATTCGTCGTGCTGCTCGTGAACTGTTAACGTTAGATGATAAAGATCCTCGTCGTCTATTTGAAGGAAATGCTTTGATTAGGAGGCTTGTGAGAATTGGTGTATTGGATGAAACTAAAATGAAGCTTGATTACGTTTTGGCTTTGAAAATTGAAGATTTCTTGGAAAGGAGATTACAAACCCAAGTTTTTAAATTGGGCTTAGCCAAATCAATTCATCACGCTCGTGTCCTTATTAGACAGCGTCATATTCGGTAAGTTTAATTATTGCACTTAAATGTTTTTGATTCTAATTAATGCTTATAATAATCTTTTTTTTAATAGAGTTGGCAAACAAATCGTTGATATTCCAAGTTTCATTGTCCGGTAAATTGCTATTTATTTTTATCATGATTTATTAAGATAAAAGTTTCTTTTTTAACGGATTCTTATTTCTTATCGTACAAATCTAGACTTGACTCTCAGAAACATATCGATTTTGCTCTCACCTCACCTTATGGTAATTTATTGTTAAATAAACATACATTTTATTGTAATTTGATTATTTGCTTACATTTGTAATGTTTCTTTTTTTATAGGTGGTGGACGTCCTGGCCGTGTAAAGAGAAAACGTCAACGTTCCGCTACTAAGGGCAAGTTTATATTAATCTTTCACAATGCTATTAACCATTTCCTATGGTCATTAAACTAATTTATTTATTTATTTTTGCAGGTGATGAGGAAGAAGATGACGAATAGATAAATGACTGATGCCAAAACCTCATAGTCGTTTCGCTTTGCGGATGCAATTAAAAATTTATATTAATGCAACTTATATAATATATCAAGTGTTTCGCATTCCAAAAATAAAATTAATAATTCTGCTAATTTTTTTATTTGTTCGTTAACATTGATTTATTGACTTTATTTTATTGCCTATTAATATTTTGTCTCAAATTAATTCACTCTCGAATAAATGAACTAAAACTTTAAGTTTCCATTGCTTCAGGATTCTCTGCAACAATATTGTTTTCTACACCTTCCATTTCAACGGGAACTTCATTAAACATGTATTGTTCTTGAAACTCTCTCAAATAATTAACAGATCTTTTTTCATCCAAGAATAATCTATACACGCGTCTGATATCAACGACATCGACACTACTTGCCTACAAATAGTTCAAGATTAATTAATGTAATGAAGTGTGTGTATAAATTTTAATCTTTGTAATAATTAATTACCTTCCGTCTTTTGGCTACCAGATGAGCAGTCGTAATTAGATGTATCGCGTATCTTAATGAAGTTTCCATTCCTATTTTTGTTAATATATCGCGTGCTTCATCAGTCATTGTCACATCCTCTTCTTGACATCTAAATATATAATAAATTGGACATTAGATAATTACGGGGCATTTCATTAAATTGAAAACTTATCTTTACCTAATGGTAAGGATTTGTTTGATCGAATTGTCGTCATATGGAATTGTACTAATAATCAATAATCGATCTAACAAATCGATTGGAATCCCATGTGGGCTCTTATATTTGGTACCTCGAATTCTTGTGATCCCACGATTAGATGCCATAATAACCACCGGCGCTCGCTCATCTTCTAACGCACGGTTTAAATATGAAAAACACTCAATGTCAAGCATATGAACTTCGTCAATAAAAAGTACCTAAAAAAAAAAATGAAATACTATACAATATTAAAATATTTATTGATGCTTTCCGTTTGAAAGTAATGATCTAACAAACTTGAATGAACGTTATCCCCTAGTATCACTTACGCCAGGAATAATTTCGGCCTTTCCTTCTTCTCTCCATTCGGTAACTTTTGTATTTATCTGGTCTCGAATTTCTGGCTTAATCTCCCCAGTATCACCTAATTAAGTGTAAGTTATTAAGTTTTATATATATATATAACCCTTGCGATAATGTATCTATTAAATAATATAAATTTTTCTTATTACCAGAAAACAAAGCTAAAAATCCTTGTGTTCGACTATTTATTACATCGATTTCGTGTAGTGATACCGTATGAACTACTTCTTTACGCTTTTGCAATTCGCCTTCAGGGCATTGAACAAATCTAGTCTATATTCAAATAAATTTGATATGAATGAATACAAAAAAAGGGAAGAAATAATGATGATAATAATAATAATAACAATACTACATCTGCACCCATCGCATCGTAATCCCTGGCTCGAGTAAACGATCTACCCAATTTAGAGATTTTTCCGGACGCTTTATCGATAGTAATCACGTCTCTAAAACGATTAAATAAATAAACATACATGAACATGACTTATTTAAAACCAATATCAATTTTTATGGATATTACCCAGCCAAAACCTTCTCTTTGTTCAATACATCTATCATTTTATGCCCCAGTTCAAATATTGTTTCCATATCAGTTGTCTTGAGGGTAATCTTGCCAGTTTTATTACCCTTGATTAATTGAAAAATTAAGTTAATAATAATCAAGTACAAATTATTAAATTATTTATAATAAAGTTCCTTACCCCCGTGATCGATCGATCTATTTGGACTTCAACGACTTCGCCTTCAATAATTTCAGCTTCCTCCTTTATTCGTACCCCAATTGAACGTCTGAAAGCTTGTGTAAGAGCTTCAGTCTTCGACATTTCAAGAGAAAAAATTTCAGAAGCAGCAATCATCGTAAAAGGTATGTCCTTGCCCAAAGCTTGTGCCATCCCTAGAATGAAAATTGTAAAATCATTGTTTTAACAAAAATAACAAAAAAAATATATATATAAAATTTGAAAACTTACCCATTGCAATAGCAGTTTTGCCAGTTCCTGGTGGACCAGCCATAAGAATGGCACGACCCGCGATTTTACCTTCTTTAATCATTTGTAAGATTACTCCAGCTGCCTTACGGGCTTTAACTTGACCCACCATTCCCTGTGCAACTTGCCGAGGTTCCAGTGAATCATCAAGACCAAGACCTCGAATGTGCGAATGAGCACCTGGAAAGCAAAAAATTAAACATAAAATATATATATTTCGTTAATATTTAGTTTTTATAAACTTACCTATTCGCTCCATTTTTGTAACATCTTTAATTTCCGAAGAGGTTGTGATTACGCCTGCCTGACATGAGTCTGTACATTGAGAACAACCATTTCAGAATATTAACTTATAACAGAAATAAAAGAGAGATCACTACCATATTATTTAGAAAGCTTTTTCAATGATATTGACAGCAAAAACTTGCGAGCGAAAAGTTTCAAGAACAAACACTTTCCTTGAGATCGTATTTATCAAAAAAATTTTCGGTAACGTGACTTTGTGTTCACAAAATAATCTCGATTATCTTATTACCTAATTTCTAACTGGAAAAAAAATTCTTTCTCCTTGACCATATTTTTCGAAAAATGAAAAAGTTATTTTTATTGTTTTTTTATAAAACTTTGTTTGTTTTTACATATGGAAGACTTTGAAAAGTTAGATAAACACAGCAAGCAATACCAAACAGCTTTAGGGGACGCAAGGGTATGTCGTCTGTCTGCACTTTTCAGCTTCACCTTTTACGTCGGCAGCACACCCTTTGGTCTTCGCTTTAAGGAAGAACAGGAGTAGTTACCTGATCGCATAAGTTTGGACTGTTGTTTGACAACCTCTTGTGGGCTTGGAAGACTTTCTTTTGATGGAATACACCTTGGCAACCTCACCCCGCCTGTTGGAAGCTACCCAGCGCAACTCCACTTAACGAACGTCACGTCAGTATTGTTGAACCTTCTTTCTTTTTGGGGTTGGAGTCTATAAAGAGTGATCTCTTACTTTCTGTTTTCACTTTGGTTTTCCCTAGATAAAATTATCTTTTTTAGGTCTCTTTTTTACGAATTAGGATTTTATATGAAGGGTATCAGTAGTTCTTCTTTTTGTTTTTTTATGTTTGGTTAGTCTTTTAGATAGAATCCTATGTGTAGATTAGAAATGATGATGTAGTATTGACATGCTTTTTCTCTACCCCTTAGTGAAGATAGTAGTCATTTCACATGAGTGGAGTGGGTCTGTTGGAGGGGGGTAGTGATAGCAGTCGATTCAAACGGGTTTGAAAAATAACAACGGGGGGTAGTGGTAGTTTTAAATAGTTTTTCTTAATGTATTTTGTAAATTCTAATAAACGTATCGCAGTATCTGCATCGTTAAACTAAAAAAAATTCTCTCTTTATAATTATAAAATTAAATAATACAAATTTTCTTAAGCAAAATATATTTATAATTAAAATTTTGGTAGCATTTAAAAAGAAAATTTTAATTTTAAAAAAATGCAAAAATTTAATAAATATATTAAATTTTGATTTATAAAACGCATTTAAAATAACTTGGAATTTTTTTAATTTATTTTTTGACATTATTAAATTTCTTAGAACCTGATTTTTCTAGCAAACTTTCCATATAAGATTTTATTTTACTTTATTTTATCTTTATCTTTTCTATTAAAAATAAATCTTTGTCTAAAATTTGATTTATTAATAAAAATATTTAATATATATATATTTATTATCAGTTTTAATATTTACAAAAAATTTAAATTCAAAAACAAATATATAAATGTTACTAAAATTGTAAGATAAATTAAATAATACATTATCAAAAATTAATTATTTATTATATTAAATAATTTATATATCTTTTTTTTTTATAATTAAGAATTTTTATTTATATACTTTTCTTTATAAAAAAAAAAAAAAGATAAATAAATATAAAATTAATAATATAATTTTATTTGATTTACTTATTAAAAATTTAAAATAAGAATCAAAAAAAAAATATAAGATTAAAATTTTAAATTATTTTATCATATTTCTTATTAATAAATATTATTTCTAAAATCAATAAATGATTTTATAAATATTAAAGAAAATAACTTAATATAAATTTATTAAAATATATAAATCATTATTATCTATTTTAGTATCAAATATTTATATAAAATAATAATAAAAATTTTATGTAAATAAATAATTTATACATTGTCACCGGGTTCGTTTTCGTTTATCTTAACGTCTAAGTTGAAAGGCTGCGGCAGCTGATTCTACACGTTGGAGTTTCCGACCT